TGTGGTGGTTGGCTTATGTCTCCTCTCTCTTCTGATAGTCAACTTCTCCCTGTAGTTTGTATCCCTGTTTCTGCTGGCAATACGGACGGCGCTGCGCCAGGCGTTCCTTTCGGTGGCAGTTCTTTCGAGTTCTTTGGGAGTTACCTCAGCAAACTGGAGGTTTTCCTTTATAGTGTCTTTGAACCGCTTTTTTTTGGCCTCCCGAGATTTCTTTTGCCACTTGCGAGTTCGCCGTACAGCAGCTTTTTGCGCATTCGGTGGTCTTCCAAGCAGATGACATGGCCGACCCATCTCAGTTGGGTTTTGACGAACATGCTCTCTATGCTTTGTGAGCTTGATAGGTTGAGGACCTCAATTTTTTTATTCAGTCTTGCTATCGGATGCCGAATATGTTGCCGAGAGCCCTTTGGTGGAACTGCTCTAACTTGTTGATGTGCTTCCTGTAGAGTGTCCAGGTCTCCGAACCGTAGAGGAGGGAGGCGAGCACAACAGCTTTGTACACTTTGATTTTTGTTGACAGCCGGACATTGTGCTGTTTTAGTAACTTGATTTTTGGTCTACCGAGAGCTTGGTTGGCTTTGCTGATTCTTGAATCAATTTCCTGATCGATGGAGCCGTCTGCAGAGATGATACTTCGAAGATATTTAAAGTTCTTGGTGTTCTACAGGTTGTTGCCATTGATAGTGATGTTTGGGGAGACAATGTGGGGCAGGTTGGTGAAGAACTTTAGTTTTCCCGATGCTTATTGTAAGTCCAAAAAGCTGTGAGGCTTATTATTACTATTATTATTATTATTACTATTATTATTATTATTATTATTATTATTATTATTATTACAACAACAAACATCGTTATTGTTACGTTACTCTTGTAAGCCGACTCACTCGTTGTCCAATCGGGGATACTCCAATGGGTTGGTTCAGCGGACGGGACGGGTCCATCGGTGACTCTGCCAGTTCCTGTGAAGAAATAGAGAAAAAAAATGTAGTGAAATTTTAACTGTCGTAAGCTAACAAAACGAATTTTCTTCATTGTGGCGCTAACATTATTTTTATGTTCTAAATCGAACGCCCGATCAGTGACCATATTTGTATGGAAAAAAAAAATCAAAGTGAAACTGTGTACATTTAAATTTCGGAAGAACTCTATTTTTCAAAGGTTATGCTGACGAAAACTCTCTTTCTCGAAACTACTATGAATAAAAAAGGCGGGGTTTTTTTCAACTTACGGCAGAATAGGTTTTACGCCCCTGTTTGGTCATTTAAGAGGCGGGACCTCTGAGTTAACCGTCCATCTCCGAATAGACCAGGCCACGTGAAAAATGGTATGGGTTTAACGCCCCTATCAACATTGTTTGGTTCTAATTTAAGATGCGAGTGCTCCGAGTTTACAGTCCATCTCTAAAAGGACTGAGCCAAGTGGGAAATTCGGGTAAAGTGCCTTTCCCGAAGACACAACGTCTGACCGAGCTGAGGCTCGAAATCCCCGAACGCGGGCAGTATCACGATTAGGTAGCCTTACCACTAGGACAACGACGCCCCTCTGAAGAAACAGAACATCGGTATTTGAAGAGTATTAAACAAGAATTATAAAATTATGTCTTGCATTAGGCTGAAATCAGGCGCTCGCCAAAACAATGAAACCGAAGATAATGGTATGTTCCTGCCTGTGGGTTGTTTCTCTAAGGGTATTTTTTTCGTTGATTCATCGACTTTTATATTATCCTTTTAAAAACGTACTTTCGTGTTGATCTTAATGGAAAAAAAACGTTGGCACAAAAAAGGTAAACTTTCAGTTTTCAAGGACACCCAAGTTCTGGATGTCATCGAATTTCTAAGTAACTATGGCCACACACAAACACACACACACAGTCTTCCTTTCTGTCTCGTGATCTACGTCTCTCTCTTGAGCTTGGCAAGAATTTAACGACGCTCGTAGCTTTTGAAAGAAGGAACAAAAGACGAAGAAGAAAGAGACAGAGAGCTAGAGTCCTACTACTATACTTATAAGTAAGGCAACTTATCCTACACCTACAGCTATACGTATAAGTAAAGTAACTTACCGTAGTCCTACTGCTGTACGTATTAAGTATTAGGTAACTCATCCTAGTCCTACTGCTATACGTATAAGGTAACATACTGTAGCTCTACTGCTATACATATTAACTATACGAATAAGGTAACTTACCCTAGTCCTACTGCTATACATATTAACTATAAGGTAACTTACCGTAGTCCTACTTCTGTATGTATTAACTATAAGGTAACTCATCCTAGTCCAACTACTATACATATTAACTATAAGGTAACTTACCCTGGTCCTACTGCTATACGTATAAGGTAACATACTGTAGCTCTACTACTATACATATTAACTATAAGGTAACTTACCGTAGTCCTACTTCTCTATGTATTAAGTATTAGGTAACTTACCCTAGTCCTACTACTAAACATATAAGTATGAACTAACTTACCCGAAATGTCAGTAGTGACGTCGACAGGACCAGTAGGGGTGGGACTGGGCTGGGTGGGTGCATCGCTGACACCGGCTCCTGAGTGCAAGTTTGACATACATGATTGTACAGGGTGATGAAAAGAAAACCCCAGACACGAAGATATTAGACAGCATTAGGGCGCCGGATGGAACGTGATATACAATATGTACATCGAGAGGCAACAGATACAGGCCGCTTCTCAAGTACGTTCCAACCTGGCGGTTTTAAGGGCTGGTGGGGCACCTGAAGTCTATTTTGGCTATTACAAGTCCTAGATTGCCCATATTTGCTGTGGGACATCGTGTGTTATTGGGAATTTGAAATCAATAGTTCAAAATGTATATTATGAAGCGGTTGCTATGGTAACGGCGGTCACATTGAATATAGTACACCTTTTTCAATCCCATTTTATTCTCTTATTTATTAAATGATTCACTTCTAATTTGACATGCTAATAGTAGATATGTAGCTCTCTTAAGTTTGGGTTGTTGAAATTTTTATATATGCTTAAGTTTTAATTTTATGATACTACAATTGTGTTGTTAAAAAAAATGTGAAAAAAATGGAAAATTCATTCTTTCTAAGCTCATAAATCAAGTACTACTCCATTAATCTAAAATTCAACCCGAACAAATTTAGAACTAGGTGTTGTTGCTATCCTCTGAAAGTTACATTGAATTTGAACAAGAAACAGAGCAGAAAATGGGATAATGTGGGAAAACTAGAATTGTGAGAAAACAGCCCATAAAGGTATGAAACGGCTGGAAAGCATGTGCTTTCGCACAAAAACCTGAAAAAAACCCACAGCTTTAGGATGTAGTAAGGCTTACATACGTTTCTGGACATTGTTCAGGAAATGTCCAGATACTATACTATGCAACAGCCCAAGATTGCATAATCTGACCCCAAAACACGACTTCTTGGTGCCCCACCAGCCCTTAACTGGAGCGGGAACCGGCGTTGAAACAGCCGAACAAAACCGCCGCTCGACGGGTCGGCGAGCCATCCACATCACGTGCGGTTTAACCGCAGCTCAAGTCAAATTTAAAAAGGGCGGAGTGTACTGACAATAACGATTTGCTTGCACCTTGCTGCAGCTTATGTATTGCTCCTGGCCAAACCTGTTCTGAACCCCTTCCGTGAATGCATTATTGTGTGGGAATTTTAAAAATCTCTGTAATTATTGAAAAACACAAAATTCTGCTCTGATCTTGCTTCAAAATTGGGTTGCTCGTTTAAAAAAATGTAATAAGATTTTTTGTGCGGTAAATCATTTGAAGATACTAGCAGTGACAAGATAAGCCGGCTAAGCATGTGACGTCACACAAAGGCTGTCGTCGACGGAACGTGCTGAACTGTAGTCAGTAAATCCAAACACGTTGAAACAGCCGGTTTAACCTCCCGTTTTAACTCTTTACTAGCAGTTTTTCATCCACATCTACGGTTCTACTGCCAGGTTTGCCTCCTTTCCTTTCCGAACCGGCAGTTTGGAACGTACATGTGTAACCGCCTTGAGACATGTTCTGGGAACGGGACCACAACCAGTGGCGGTGAGTGGATCTAAATTAATGTGGGTGGGGTTGAGAAGACAACAAAGACAGTACTGAATAAAGTCCAGACTACCCCCTGGGGTGGTGCCACTGACTGAAGTGTCTTTAGGCCTTTTCCAAAGGGGGGGGGGAGGAGGGCTGATCCAACAATGTCATGCTCATAACTGTGCCTAAACTACCACAGGGAACTGCTGCTTTTTCTTTCCTAATCCTTACTATCGTCATTTTCCTCTACTTAAGTAGCAGGATAGAATAAGAAATGAAGAGCCGTGAGAAAGGACAAGACACATAGATGTATAACTAGAAATAGGACTAAGAAAGAGGCGATGGATGGGACAAACCTTAATTAAGAAAGCCCAGCGGAAACATCCCACGACAGTCACTGTAGAGGAACCCACAGGCAGGGACAGGCCACAGGAAATATGGAGGAGATGCGTGGAAAGGGACAAGAGAGAAATGAAGCTCACTTGGAACGAGCTTGGAAGGATGGCCCAGGACAGATATAAATGGAAGGATCTTGTATGTGGTCTATACCCTGTCAGGAGTGAAAGGTATTGATGATGATGATGAGTTCAAAGGTAAGATTTTCTTGGTTCAAAAGACAGTTCATGACACTTTTCCCATACACCCAGTAACTAAAACACGCCCATGGGCCCTCGAGAGGGAGGATTGGAATGTCTTGCTTTCTGCGACCACACGGCCTAATCTAGTTACTGTTGTATGCGTGCGTTTGCGTGTGAGTGCGTGTATGAAACATACTCACACATATCTAGGATATTTTCACCCCATTGTCAGGGCTGGCAGAGAACGAGCCAACTCTTAGAACAGTTGCCGCGGGCTTTCGTTCGTTTCTTTTACCTTTTTTTTTTCAAGAAGAGGTTATTTAAGAAAGAGCCTTGGGAATAGGCTCATCCTTTGCTAAGCCCTGAAGACATTTGGTTGGCTGATAGAGTACTATTGTTGTAAACGGTGACAACAGTGATTTAATAACGAGCAAATGTGTGTGTTCACTGCTTAAAACTAGAGGTGGAGGCAGAAAATTCTGAAAAAGTTCCAACGGTTTTAAGTGGTTATTTCGTTTATTAGAAGAAACATCCAGTTACGTAGTTAAAGTGTTGGAGGGGGGGGGGAGTGGGCAGGGCTCAAGCTCTTTAGCCCTTCACTACGCCTCGACTCTGGCCTCAACAGCCAGCCTCAAAGGCCTACAACTTTCAATTCGAAGGCCTTGAAGCAAAAGAAAGGCCAAGAAAAAGAAGGATCGGTTGACGTAAAAAGACCTCTCAAGGGCACAATATGGTGATCCAATTAGCAACACACCTGGCCCAGGTCTGAGAGTTGCATGTGTCCTCAATGATGATGATGATGATGATGATGATAATGATGATGATGATGATGATGATGATGATGATGATGATGATGATGATGATGAT